GGCATAAATGCACCACTTTTGGTAATTACTCTAAACTTGAGGGGTTTTGTGTAATTAAATAAAGTAATTATTATTCGTCCTAAGGACCATTTTGTAATTTAATTTGGAAGATATTTTCAAAAATAACTTTTTTGCAATTTTCAGAAAATGTGACAAGTGTCACATTCCTAAGGTGCCACTTGTTGATTTTATGGTGAAACCACTTGGAAGCCTTGTTTGATGACACATGGAGGGTGGAGATTCACCCATTTGTTGGCCTAGGATTGGAGCACTTGTTGGTATGGATGGTTGACAAGTGTAGGCTCAATGTTAAGTCTTGGAAGTTTACATAGGATGGTGACAAGTGTAGGCTTCACAATTGGTCTTGCAATTGTGTGTGTGTGAGAGGTAGTGCAAGAGCACATAATGAGTAGAGAATCCCACCATTTAGCTTAGGGTTTACACCTTTGTCTCATTTTCATCTCTTTCCTCTCAAGAACCCTAACTTAAGCCACCATTGGAGAAAAGCTTGGTTAATAGCTTTCTTCTTCATTTTGGCCTCCTTCCACTCACCTTAGACCATTAAGCTTGGAATACATTATCTTCCTCTCACTCTCCTCTACAAAACCCTAGTTTGGTTTTTCATTTTAAGCTTGGTTGCTTTAGATTATAGAGATTCAATTCTCTATTGAGGTAGGGGTGGTTGTATGTTTATCCTCTTTGGGTTTTATATATATTAGAGTTTGATATATATTGATTACATGCCTTTTTAAATTCTTGTACTAGCATGTAAATAGAGATTTTATATACTTGACTTAGGATTTGTGAATTAAAGCATGTATATGACTATTAAATTGTATAGGTAGGTTATTGTTTAATGATTTGCCTAATACTCGTGATTTCATTGAGGGTTTATTATGAATATCTTGAAATTGCACTTATGTTGTTAAGTAAATGGAGATTTCATTGAAAGCTTAGTATAAAAATCTTGTGTGTGGCACTTATAATTACTTGTAGGTAGATTACTATATTTCATGATTTGCAATTATGGCCTACGTTGATAGTAAATTGATATAACATGATGTGTAGTATCACTAACTTGCCACTTTAGACATGTAACCTTAAGACATGGGTTGCGTGGTTTTACCCTACTTGTGCTTGGTAGGTAGTTTCATGCATTGAGATTGCATAAATGTCATGAACTTGTTAATTTTTGGAAGCTTGTAAGGATATGAAATGTTGATGGCTAGGGCTTGGCTCTAGTATGGAGGGTAAGAATTCTCCTATGTCATAGTACGCACTAGGTTATACCTTGTGGGTCATAATTACCCAAAATAACTTGTATGGACTCGTGGCCACATATCCTAATCTTTCCATTATTTGATTTCGTATTACTTCTAAGTTGTAAATCATGGATTTCTTGTAGCTTGTGATTTGGTAACCTTAGTTATAATGTGGTTAGTGTACTTGTCTTGTATACTTGGATGCTACGTGCTCATCGTTTCAAACATTTGTATAGCTTGAGATGATCCCTTAGAGTACCATGGAAACATAGATGTTAGGTGGAATGCACTATTGTGATGGTCTATGTTTGATTTATATTATACTTGAAACTATAGGGTATGCGCATGTACCACATCCTATGAGTAACCTAATTACTCACCCTAATTGTTTGGGTTATTTTGCAGGTAAAGAAACTTTGTTTTGAGATGCGTCACATCCTTAAGTTGCTTTAAAGTCTTAATGTAGTTTGTTGTATTTTTGAAAACATGCAAGTGTTAGCATGTAGTATCATTTTGGTGTAAAATGCTATTTTTGTTTTGAAATATGTAATGTGTATCTAAGTACACTTTTTGATGCTTAAATAACATGTATGTATTGAGGCCAATGGCCAAGCATGTTTAATTTAGCACTTGTAGTCATTCGGTACCATCTTTTGCTTTAAGAATGTATTTAAACAAATTTTGGAGGTTTAACATGTAAGATTTTTGTAAATGATGTGTATGGGGCCATGAGCCGTTGTTTTACGTATAAATAATTCATATTAAGGTTATTTGCATGTCTACATATCCATATTTCATTAGAAATCAGTTTTAAACATTCAATTTTGGACCAAATCATCATGGATTTCGAAGTATAGGTTGAACCTTAACACGTTGGGCTTGCAACAGACCTTACAGTAGCTTTTCGAGGAGTTTTGGTCGACCTAAACACTATTTTAGTCGACCGATGGCCTCAAATCAGTATACCGAACCAAATAAACAGTAAAAACATGTCTTTAGAAGGTATTATGTCCACTTCGGTCATCCAGATTTTGTTCCAACACTAATAGTCCAACTTCGAAAGGCTATAACTTCTTCGTTTCTAAGCCAAATAGGGTGATTCTTGATCCTAAACTCAAGGATTTTAAGTCAGCTTTCCAATGATAACAATTTCATTCTTAGATTCAAATTATAGTGGGAGTTATTAATATTTTAGTGGGATAATGTCAGTTTTCGTTTAAACCTGGAAAGGGCGTTTTGTGGGATTTTTGTCCAAAGTTCTTGGAACCTCTTGGAACGTTGTGAAATGATTAGATTAGGTTGTATTAACCTTATTTGACTTGTTTTGAGTCAAATTTCCCCTTTCAATTGTAAATTGATCATTTTGCCCTTGATTGACGAATTTTGCCCGTTTTGACTCTAGTTTCCTCTTTCGCTCTCCTCAAGTTCCATGACCTCAAGGAATGTCACACTTGTGTCTTAGAGATGATTTATATCTCAAAGGACTATGGTTTTATCTTTTGGTTCCGCATTTCGGATCCGTTACTGGATTAACTTTCGGGTAATCATTGACGCCCCGGGTTGAAAAAACCTAGGTCGTTACAAGTAGTATCAGAGTTCTTAGGTTCGAAAACCTTAGGACGACGGGTTTTGGGTGCATATCATGTTTTTGTTGACATGCTTTGATATGTTTACGTGTTCCTTGATAACATGTTTACGTACTTATATGATAGTATGGTTTGGAGTCTACCTTAAATGTTTTAATATGTTGTATATGCTTGTATGCCTTAGCATTTTGTATATGCTTATAGGGTGTTAGCATGTTGTATATACTTGTATATTTAGCATGACTGTATGTTCCATACATCTCTTGCTTATATTATATGCTACTTGCTTCGTCCATTCATGGCGTGAGCTGCATTAGGTCTTAATGACTAGCATTGTTGTTGACCTTGCCCTTTATGTGTGTAGCACCATGGTCTTGAATCGCGGAGAGTCTTCTCGTCACGTTGGAGTGGATGAGCAAGTTAAGGAGCAGGTTGCAGACACCGGGCTCGCACGGGGTCCAGGGAGGCCTAGGGCTCGACCTCGCGGCGTAGATCCTAATCCACTACGAGCGCTAACTTTTGAGGAGCAGATTACGCAGGGAGTGGCTCTGGGGATGTCAAAGTCTATTCAACAGATGTTTCGTCAGCATATGGCAGGGATGCAGATTTTGGTACCGGCACCAGCACCGGCACCAGTTGCTAATGAGGCGTTGGACTATTTCATGAAGTTACAACGAGTTAAGATCGACTAGTTTGCAGGGGGTATGGATCCGTTTGCTTCAGAGGCATGGATTGATCTCATGTTACGCAAGCTTGATAGCATGGCAGTACCTACGAACCGATTGAGGATCTCCTTGACTGCCTCTATGTTCATGGGAGATACCGATATCTGGTGGAGGTCCATAACCAACATCCATGATGTGGAGGTGATGACATGGGAGGAGTTCAGGACATTGTTCTTCGACCGTTTCTTTCCGAGGGCTATGAGGCAGGACATGAGAGTGCAGTTCACAGGTCTTTATCAGGGCAGGATGAGTGTCATTGAGTATGAGACACTCTTCATTTCTCTTTCCCGCTATGCACCGGAGATGGTAGCTACCGAGGAGCTCAGGGCGAGGAAGTTTCAGGATGGGTTACATCTTGATATTAGGATACGGATTTCAGTATTGGAATTGAGGACCTACGGGGAGGTAGTACAGAAAGCTATGTTGGTTGAGGCAGAGGACCGAGATCAGCTCAAGATCAAGGGTTCATATAAGCAGTCTCATGGAGAGGCTTCATCAGTATCAATTGGGGGTCAGTGGAACAAGGCTAAGGCAGGGGACAGTTCACGTACTCAGGGACAGTCACAGCGGTCTCGGTCTGTACCTGTAGTTCCAGTATCTTCGGGGTCAGCCCGGGGAGTAATTTGTCACCACCATCAGCAGCCGAGGCATATCAAGCCTCATTGCCTACAGCTTCAGCCACATGCCAGTCAGTCACAGGCTTGTAAGCCTACAGCTTCGACAAAGGGAGTTCGTGAAGCTTGTCATTATTGCAAGCAACCAGGTCACTTCAGGAGAGAGTGTCCGAAATTGCAAGGCGGCACACAGAGTGGCATAGGTTCACAGGTCGTACCGGCACAATCAGCAGTTGTGCAGTCAGGTTTCAAGGTGCCTCGGGCACCACAGTCAGCAGCGCCGCCAGTTGGTTCTTATCTGGTTAGAGGCCCTACACCTACTGCTTTTGGACATCAGTTGGGCCACTAAGGCAGTTCACAGCAGTCTGGGGCTCAGGGATGAGCTTACGCACTGCCACAGGACGATACCTCTGCTGAGACTTCTACAGTTCGAGGTATCTTTCCAGTTTTCAGTTCTTGGGCTAGAGTTTTTGTTGACACAGGTACATTGCATTCATTCATATCTGCTTCATTTGCACATTCATTGGATCTGGAGGTCACGCAGCGGGATGGTTTCCTTTGTGTTGACACACCAGTTGGGGGTCTAGTGTTTTTGGACCGTGTCTATCAGGGTTGTGCTATTGAGATAGCTGGACGGACTTTAGAGTTCGATTTCGTTGTTTTCGACATGATAGGCTTTGACGTCATTCTCGGGATAGATTGGCTATCCTTCTTTCGTACATAATCGATTGCTTCCTCGGGAGGGTGACTGTTTGCACTCCCAAAGGAGATTGTTTTCACTTCGTGGGAGATCGGAGTGATTCCCACTTGACAATGATTTTCAGTATCGGTGACTGGAGTCGCCACAGGTCCTACTTGGCTAGCCTGTTAGCTGACGAGGATAGTAGCTCAGGCTGCGTTTACCCTGCAGTTGTTGTGGAGTTCTTGTATGTTTTTCCGGAGGAGTTGACGGAGCTTCCTCCTTTTCGGGAAGTTGTCTTTACCTTTGATGTCATTCTCGGTACTGCACCTATCTCCATGGCACCGTACCGCATGGCACCAGCAAAGCTTGATAAGCTGAAGGCTCAATTGGATGATTTAAAAGCTAAAGGCTTTATTCGTCCTAGTGCTTCACCCTAGGGAGCACCGGTTCTTTTTATAAAGAAGAATGATGGGTCTTTCAAACTCTGCATCGACTATCACAAGCTGAACCACGTCACAATCAAGAATAGGTATCCTTTGCCTAGGATTGATGACTTGTTAGCCACTTGTTTTTCAAAGATTGATTTAAGATCAGGTAATTATCAGTTGAGGGTTAAGGATGAGGATATATCCAAGACCGCTTTTCGTACACAATATGGCCATTATGAGTTTCTGGTGATGCCATTTGGTTTGACCAATGCTCCAGCAGCTTTTATGGACTTGATGAACCGCGTATTCAGTGACCATCTTGATCAATTCGTTGTGGTGTTCGTTGACGACATTCTAGTATACTCAGCTTCGGTGGAGGAGCATGAGTATCATTTAAGGGCAGTGTTATAGATCCTTAGGGATAATCGGTTGTATGCCAAGTTCGAGAAATGCGAATTTTAGCTACCGGAGGTGAAGTTCCTTGGACATGTTGTGTCAGGGGGCGAAGTTACAGTAGATCCGTTAAAGATTGAATCGGTGATGGATTGGGAACGTCCGAAGACAGTGTTTGAGATTCGAAGTTTTCTTGGCCTAACCGGCTATTACCGGAGATTTGTTCGGGATTTCTCTTGTCTAGCGGCACCTATGACTCAACTTACCCGTAAAGGGGTCAAGTTCATATGGAACGAGGCTTGTGAGTTTGCTTTTTAGGAGTTGAAGGTCAGGTTGACATCGGCTCCAATGTTGATCATTCCTGAACGTGGTTTGGGTTATGTGATCTTTTGTGATGCTTCGCAAGAAGGTTTAGGTTATGTCTTGATGCAGACAGAACTGGTGGTTGCTTATGGGTCTCGATAGTTGAAGACTCACGAGTTAAGCTATTCGACACATGATTTGGAGTTGGCAGCAGTTATTTTTGCCCTGAAGGGGTGGAGACACTATTTGTATGGAAAGAAGTTTAAAGTTTTCTCCGATCACAAGAGTCTTAAGTATCTCTTCTCTCAGAAGGATTTGAACTTGAGACAGCGCAAATGGGTTAAGTTCATGGAGCATTATGACTTTGAGTTACAATATCATCCGGGTAAGGCCAATGTAGTAGCTGACGCATTGAGTAGGAAGTTACGGGGGACTCTTGCTAGCATTTCCACTCACAGATGGAAGATGCTAGAAGAACTTGTAGACCTTGGTTTATAGTGTTATGAGGATGTTTCGCAGGCTATTTTGTTTAGTCTTGTGGCGCAACCGGCTCTTGTTAGCAGAGTTGTTGAGGCACAGTTGGAGGATGGGGAGATGAAGTCCATCCATGTTCGGATTTCCGGTGGTGAGAATGTAGAGGGTTGGACCTTACATTTAGACGGTGGTCTCAGGTACAAAGGGATGATGTTCGTTCCTTTGTCTTGTCATAAAGACGTTGTTCGGGATTTTCACCACTCTCGACTCACAGTTCATCCTGGTGGTACGAAGATGTATCATAATCTGCGACGACAGTTTTGGTGGCAGGGTATGAAACGGGATGTTTCACAGTTCGTGGCTTGATACCTTACTTGTCAGCAAGTGAAGGCAGAACATCAGAGACCGGCAAAATTATTGCAACCATTACCAGTAGCTAAGTGGAAATGGGAGCATATCACTATGGATTTCGTAATGGGACTTCCGAGGTCTCAGGCAGGGAATGATGCCGTTTGGGTTATAGTTGACAGGTTAACTAAGACGGCTCACTTCTTGCCCATGGCAGTGACAGATAGTGCAGAGAGACTGAGTGGACTGTATGTGAGGCAGATTGTCAGGCTTCACGGGGTTCCTGTATCCATTGTTTCGAATAGGGATCCACGGTTCACGTCTAATTTTTGGCAGAGTTTTCAGGAGGCTCTTGATACGAGGCTTCATTTTAGCACTGCATTCCATCCTCAGACCGACGGTCAGTCAGAGCGCACCATTCAGATATTAGAGGATATGTTACGGGCTTGTATCTTGGATTTTGGTGGTAGTTGGGAGGACTACTTGCCTTTGGTTGAGTTTGCCTACAATAATAGTTACCAAGCCAGTATTGGCATGGCACCTTTTGAAGCGTTGTATGGCAGGCCTTGCAGATCTCCAGTTTGTTGGACGGAGGTTTGTGATACCATTGTCTTGGGTCCCGACATTGTCATTGAGACTGCAGAAAAGATCAAGTTGATTCGGTAGCGGTTGGCTACTGCACAAAGCAGACAGAAGAGTTATGCTAACAGGAGGAGGCGATCCTTGTCTTTTGAGGTAGGAGACCATGTCTTTCTTAAGATTTCTTCTTGCAAGGGACTTCTGAGATTTCACCAGACTGGCAAGTTGTCTCCTAAATTCATGGGACCATTTGAGATATTAGAGCGCGTCGGTGAAGTTGCTTATCGTTTGGCTTTACCGCCAGACGTGGATAGGGTTCACGACGTCTTTCATGTTTCTATGCTGAGGAAGTACGAGCCGGATCCATCACATGTTTTACGATGGACAGATGTAGTTGTTGATGAGGATGTGACCTACGAGGAAGGTCCAGTCCAGATTCTTGATTTACGAGAGCAGGTCTTACAGACTAAGACCATTCCATTGGTTAAGGTCTTGTGGAGACACCACGGTGTCAAGGAGGCTACCTAGGAGCTTGAGCAGAAGGTTCGCTCTCGGTACCCCCATTTGTTCTCTCTTTCAGGTACGATACGATTTCGAGGACGAAATTCTTTTAAGGAGGGTAGGTTGTAATGACCCGGTCATTTCCTTTCTTTTCTCTTTTCGGTAAATTTTTTTTTTTTTTTGTCTTTTCCCTATTACGTCCTTTTGTCGTTTTTCATTTTTCCTTGCATAACCTGACTTTTTGTGTTAAGATTTGATTCCGGCTTTGCATACATCCATGATATTTCATTTTCATGAAATCTACATTTTCACTTTTGTAGAAAAGCATGTTAAATGTTTACTTTTCTTGTAAAGGGCATAAATGCACAACTTTTGGTAATTACTCTAAACTTGAGGGGATTTTATGTAATTAAATAAAGTAATTATTTTTCGTCTTGGGGACCATTTTGTAATTTAATGTGGAAGATATTTTAAAAAAAGACTTTTTTGCAATTTCCGGAAAATGTGACAAGTGTCACATTCATAAGGTGCCACTTGTTGATTTTGTGGTGAAACCACTTGGAAGCCTTGTTTGATGACACATGGAGGGTGGAGATTCACCCATTTGTTGGCCTAGGATTAGAGTACTTGTTGGTATGGATAGTTGACAAGTGTAGGCTCAATGTTAAGTCTTGAAAATTTACATAGGATGGTGACAAGTGTAGGCTTCATAATTGGTCTTACAATTGTGTATGTGTGAAAGGTAGTGCAAAAACATATAGTAAGTGGAGAATTCCACCATTTAGCTTAGGGTTTACACCTTTGTCTCAATTTCATCTCTTTTCTCTCAAGAACCCTAACTTAAGCCTCCATTGGAGAAAAGCTTGGTTAATAGCTTTCTTCTTCATTTTGGCCTCCTTCCACTCACCTTAGACCATTAAGCTTGGAATACATTATCTTTCTCTCACTCTCCTCTACAAAACCCTAGTTTGGTTTTTCATTTTAAGCTTGGTTGCTTTAGATTATAGAGATTCAATTCTCTATTGAGGTAGGGGTGGTTGTATGTTTATCCTCTTTGGGCTTTATATATATTGGAGTTTGATATATATTGATTACATGCCTTTTTAAATTCTTGTACTAGCATGTAAATAGAGATTTTATATACTTGACTTAGGATTTGTGAATTAAAGCATGTATATGACTATTAAATTGTGTAGGTAGGTTATTGTTTAATGATTTGCCTAATACTCGTGATTTCATTGAGGGTTTATTATGAATATCTTGAAATTGCACTTATGTTGTTAAGTAAATGGAGATTTCATTGAAAGCTTAGTATGAAAATCTTATGTGTGGCACTTATAATTACTTATAGGTAGATTACTATATTTCATGATTTGTAATTATGGCCTACGTTGATAGTAAATTGATATAACATGATGTGTAGTATCATTAACTTGCCACTTTAGACATGTAACCTTAAGACATGGGTTGCGTGGTTTTACCCTACTTGTGCTTGGTAGGTAGTTTCATGCATTGAGATTGCATAAATGTCATGAACTTGTTAATTTTTGGAAGCTTGTAAGGATATGAAATGTTGATGGCTAAGGCTTAGCTCTAGTACGGAGGGTAAGAATTCTCCTATGTCATAGTGCGCACTAGGTTGTACCTTGTGGGTCGTAATTATCCAAAATAACTTGTATGGACTTGTGGCCACATATCCTAGTCTTTCCATTATTTGATTTCGTATTACTTCCAAGTTGTAAATCATGGATTTCTTGTAGCTTGTGATTTGGTAACCTTAGTTATATTGTGGTTAGTGTACTTGTCTTAGATACTTGAATGCTACGTGCTCATCGTTTCAAACATTTGCATAGCTTGAGACGATCCCTTAGAGTACCATGGAAACATAGATGTTAGGTGGAATACACCCTTGTGATGGTCTATGTTTGGTTTACATTTACTTGAAACTATAGGGTATGCGCATGCACCACATCCTACAAGTAATTTAATTACTCACCTTAGTTGTTTTGGTTATTTTGCAGGTAAAGAAACTTTGTTTTGGGATGCATCACATCCTTAAGTTGCTTTGAAGTCTTAATGTAGTTTGTTGTATTTTTGAAAACATGCAAGTGTTAGCATGTAGAATCATTTTGGTGTAAAATGCTATTTTTGTTCTGAAATATGTAATGTGTACCTAAGTACACTTTTTGATACTTAAATAACATGTATGTGTTGAGGCCAAGGGCCAAACATGTTTAATTTAGCACTTGTAGTCGTTTGGTACCATCTTTTGCTTTAAGAATGTACTTAAAC